GCAGCTGTCACATTTGTCAGACGTCTTGTTTGCCCTGAGATATGACATCACGCCCACTGTGAGACCAACACTCCAATTCCCTGGGGGCAGAGCTGGAGGTCGCGTGGGGCCACAACCTTCCCACTGCCCCTCTGGGCTTCTCAGAGCTCCGGGGACCCTAGTGGACACCGGGGCAGCTCGGCCTGGGAACTGGAGCCCGGCCAGATATGCTGCGTGATGAACAGTCAGCAAGGGGGAAAAACTGATAAAACATACTGTTTGAAAAACACACACTGACGGAGGAAAGGCTTCCCTGGCTTCTTAGTGCACTCCACGCAAGGCTGGGGGGGAGTAATGATGACAAAAGTGGGCACCTTGACTTGTGTGTGTGTGTGTGTGTGTGTGTGGGTGCACCCTGCTGCTTGTAACATTCAGTGACGCTGAGTGTGACGTTGGGGGTTACGTGTTGGTGTTATGGGAGCAAGAAGAGTGGGGAGGCATATCACGTACACACACACACACACACACACACACACACACACACACACGCACACACAAAAAGAGGACCACAGCAGGTCCAGCATCTCTCCCACTGATCCAGACAACAATAAGTATCATAAGGTTCTTACTGTCTCCTCCTGATGACTCTGGATCAGTAGTTTGGCATTTGCTCACAAGACCAACTGGACTTGTAAATGAATGAACCGCTGCTTGTTCACAGTTGATATATGTTTACGATACAACTTTGTAGAAAAAGAGTCCACACACAGTGGGCGCTTGATTCATATCTTCCCCTTTATTCACACAAGTGGGCTGTTTGAGTACGTGTGCAGGCACATTCACAGTGGAACAGTGTTGCCCATTCTCACACACACAGGCCTATTCTCCTCTCCTGTCACTGACAATGCACAGTGCTGGTGACGGCATCTACAGCCTTCCTTGAATTGTCCCACACAGTGGACTGTGAGGCCTGTGCACTGAAAAGACTGACTTTAAGATTCTGACTTGATTTAACTCAGACTGTTGAAGCCTCTGATTTGTTTCAGCTACATTTACCATGTTCAGACAGGACGAGGAGGAGGTAAACTTTGCCTGATATCTGCTAACACTTACAGTTTCCAGTAACTCCCTTATTGTATATATGGAGACAAACAAACAATTTAAACTATGCTCAAATGTAAATCAATTAATCAGTCTAACTTTTATTTGTATAGCACTTTTCATACAGGTTAGTGCAGTTCAAAGTGCTTCACAGATGACTGATAAACCAAAAGAAAAGGACAAATCAAGAGATTTGACAATGAGATACAATAAAATTGATTTAAAAAGCTATAAAAACATTAGCAAACAAAAAAGAATAAGACCATTAATAATAAAAGATAAAATACAATAAAATACAATTTAGAACAATTACAATTAAAAAATAGATAGATAGATAGATAGATAGATAGATAGATAGATAGATAGATAGATAGATAGATAGATAGATAGATAGATAGATAGATAGATAGATAGATAGATAGATAGATAGATAGATAGATAGATAGATAGATAGATAGATAGATACTTTATTTATTCCTAGGGCAAATTCAGTTGTCCAGTAGCTCATTAGTAATAATAATAATAATAATAATAATAATAATTAATAATAAAAAACAATAATAGTTAAATGAATAAAATAAAAATCTTTATAAAAATAAGATCAAATGAAAGTTTCTTAAAACATCAGGGAGGTCAGAGACCTTTTTCTTGGTCTGTTTCAAGGTAACCCCAGAGGGTTAGTGCATACGAGGATTTATGTCCATCTCATCCCCAGAAAAACGTTTGTTTCTTCTAGAGATAAATAAGAAACATCACACTAAAATCAAACTTTAAAATGTTTTTAACTGTTCATTTTATTTTGTAAAATTATTAATCTGTTTCTAAGGAACACGTCATCAAACCTGCTTACAACAGATATAAAAATCAGTCAGACTTTCACAGAAAGCAGATTTATGATTCCGGTGAATTGCGCAAACAGAAATCACAACTGTGCGTATGTGTACGCACGTTGTTGTAAATCTGAGGGAAGTCGGACAAAAAGAGAGGAGGAGTTTTAACCGGGGACTGTTGTGAGGGCGAGTAGGAGGAGTTTGGTTTTTCAGTAGAAGAGGGGAGAGCCTATTGACAGGCGGAGAGGAGGATTTGGAGTTTGGAGAGGAGCGGACCAAAGTGTGTGAGAGAGAGAGAGTGTGTGTGTGTGTGTGTGTTTGTGGTGAAGGAGAACAAATTTCATTTTACAGCGAGGACCTGGGATTTTTATCTTTTAAAAAGGAACAATTCTTCTTTCCTTGTCGGATTATCTCCGAGCTCTGATGCTGTCCCCGGATCATGAAAGAAAAGCTCACCATGAAGTTCGCCTGGAAAACTAAAATGGTAAAAAAAAAAAAAAAAAAACAACAAAAAAACAAAAACAACATAACAACAACAACAAAACCCTCTCATGGTTTTCCATCCTGTGTGCTCTGTAGTTGGGTTTGCGGTTTTGCAGAGAGGGGGAGAGGTTAAAGAGGGAATTGGGGGAGAGAAAGGAGGGAGGGGGGTGTTTGTAGGCTTGGGAAAGTAGCGGATAAAGGGGGGGGGTGCGGAGGAGGAGGAGAGGGAGGAGGAGGAGGGAATAGCGGGGGAACAGTTGAGCATTGAGTTTTAATTGTTTTCACCAGGCTTTAAATCCAGTTTAACCCACATTGCTGGTGCGTAAAGATGTCGCGCAAAGTTTAGAAACGTGGGCGGGGGGGGGGGCAAAACAAAAACAACTGCACCAGTATATGAACTCGATCCTCTTACTGTCTCCTCCCTGATGTCGGATATGAAAACTTTGTCCCGGGGCCCGCAGTGAAACAGAGAGGCAACAATTGGCAAGGCCCCGGGGCCATCAGTGTCTCTCCACGGGACCCAGCTGGGTTCAGGCGAGGAAAGCACAAAAGCCAACAGATCAACGCCAAAGTCTCAACACCACTGTTGTTGTTATCTTGGGAGTATTGTTTCACACGCAGCTGATAGGATGATAGGCAGATTAGCGCTATTTGAGCTGGGACAGGGGAACTGTTTCTCTGCTCTCCTCGGTGTCTTCCCTGGGCACTTAGTGGGCATCTTCTGTGGAGGATCCAAGTTGTTACAGAGAGTAAACAACTCATCTCCTGTTTACACCTCACCCAGCCTCATTTGATATGCTGGTGTTCTCTGTGAACTCGTCCCTTACTGCTCTGCCAGGTTTCTGATAGGCCTTTATTGTACTATACTTTATTGTCTTCTCTGGTGAATGGAAACATCACTGTGACAGACTGTTTTGATTTCCATTTTCATGCAAGCTCATGGAACATTGTCTCACAATAAGCCTTAAACTCTTGGTGCACAAAGTGAGCAGAGCTTTTCTTTTCTTTTTTTTTTTCTTTTTTTTTTTTTGCTCTGAAAAACATCTCCAGCTCTGCGGCTGACAAAAAGCAGGCTGTGTGTGCAGACTGTGAACTCAGCAGCCCGGGCCGGCCAGCACAGAGACCTCCCGCTATTGTTTTGGGAGTGTGTGGACTGCATGACTCATGCACTGATGTATTTATCTGTCTCTGCGCCAGCCATCCAGCCGGCGGCCAGCAGCAGCTAAAAAACGAGAGGCCGAGAGACGTGCTGCTGACCATGAGACAGGATGCTGAAAAGGGTGTTTGGGACGGGCATGTCGACGTGTTTCACACAAATGCAGAATTTGACATGGTTGCTGATTTCACCCGTCAAAGCCAGTTAAAATCCTCCTTTTTTTTTTTACTCCTCCTCTCCTTTTTTCTCTTTGTGTTTTCAGTTTAAGGGCTTTCTTTTCATTTCTGCATCACATGTTTCTGTTCAAACCCAAACATGGTTCAGTCATGGCTGAGTGCCACGGGCCTCTTGGACCGTCCATTGAGCCTGTTAACGGCGACTTTGACCCTTGACCTTTTCCTCTGGCGTCCCTTCTGTTTGGGGAATAGTTTGGACTTTGCCATTGAGCTGTGTAAATGAAAGTGGGGACAAGTGAGAGTGATCTTGGCTGCTGCCGCCTGCAGAGTGTGTGTCTGTGTGTGTGTGTTTGTGTGTCTGTGTGTGTGTGTGTGAGGACTTGGCCATAATACTGCATGCGTGGTGTTTATATTTGGCTAGTCCCTCTCCTTCGCTGTCTCCCTGCCTCTGTTTTTGTCTCCGTATGTTGATGTCTCAGCAGAACTCAGCCTGTTTGCTCTCGCTCTCTCTGTGCTAGAGTTTTGTATTTTAATATCACTCTGCTCCCCGTGTTTGTTTATGCACTCTGCTGTTTGTCAGAGATTTACAACCAGAGACAGACACAGTACATATGGGCCCATGCCTGCAAGATGAGCACAAATCCACTCACTCTTACAAGTTGGTTTAAGTGCGGTTGAGCTCTCGAGACACAGATTTGTAATCAAGCTCTCTTGGCTTGTATAATTATGCAGACAAACAGACAAAGACAAATCAACAGAGAGAAAAAGTGATGCAAATTTTACTAAGTAGGGGTTTGTTTGAGAGACGGCATCCATTCTGGCTCTTATCTCAAGCTTTTCTGAGCTCCAGGAAAGCAGTCCAGCTCTGACTTCAGCTCAAGAGACTCCGTGAAAGAGATGGATAGGGAATAAAAGAGGGAGTAAAAACAGGGAGGCAGTTAGGGAGGGAGGCCTGGCAAGCTGCAATGGTGGTGGGGGTTGGGGAGCTGGTCTCGCTTGATGTTTTACTGCACCTCAGTCCTTCTCCTCCTAGTTTGTTTGAGTGCTGTGGCTGTGTGTCTTTGTTTTTCTCATTCTGCCATCTGCTTTTCTCAGAGAGGTTTCCAAATGGGGAAATTCCTAGTTTGTTAAACTATCAAAATGACACTTGTTGTGGAAGTTAGCTCTGCAGCATGCAGTTACTTACAGGAAATTTTTGTCTCTTTCTATCTTAAACGCCACTCTCCTCTCCTGTGGAGGTTTCTAACATTTTCCCTCTCTCCTCTCTTGTTGCAGAGTTCGGTGCAGGACTGGGGGGAGGAAGTCGAGGAAGGAGCCATCTACAATGTGACACTGAAGAGGGTTCAGATTCAGCAGGCGGCCAACAAGGGAGCAAGATGGCTGGGGGTGAGTAAGCCCGCCTGAATCAGAATCACAGCTGATGGATCTCTTTTGAGGGGCACGTGAGTCAAGCTCCAAACCCTCAGCGAGGCAGATTATACGTGTCAAAACCTTTTTCCACTTTCTCAACCTGTTGCGGTGAAAAATTCAAACTCCCAAGTGGAACAGTCTCTAATGTGGAATTTAGCACGTGTGGATGGTTTATAAAAGCAATCCAGTGAGTTGTGTGCATCCTGCAGAGCTGAAAAACAGAAAAACCTAACCTCTATTGTTTGAAACAGACCGTGTCTTCCAATTGTGGGGCGTCTCTCACAGCATTGTGCTCCACCGGGGACGTTATTGTTTTAACATTTGAGCTATAAATCTACCAGTTTAGACAACACCTTTTAGTTGCCTGCTGAAAATCAACAGTTTCACCAGACCTGGTCTGTTTAGCCAAAGCATGTGATTTCCTGACTTTCCCGGCTGCCAACAAAACTGCTCGTTCCTTTGTACAGCAGTGTTTTATGAAACGCTGGTATGACAAAAAAAAGGGGAGGTATTAAAGGCTTTTCCTTGAGTTGTGCATTTTTTTTCAGTGCATATGAGGCATTACTGTTTCCTCCACTGTGCTGTTTATATCAGCATAATAAGATGTTATACAGTGTATTATTATACTGCACAGAAGGCCCAATTAGGGGTCCTTAGATACTCCCATGAGTTCCCTCAGTTTGGAAACCCAGCATAACAGAAATTACAAGACAGATATTTGGGGTTTTCTTTTGTTTACAAGAAAAATCAGGATCTTGTGTTGTTAGTTTGTTTGTCTCTTTGTGCTCAACATGGCGGATGGAGATTGGCACATGAAAGAAGAAATAGATAACAGCTCTGAGGCTTTAAGACTGTATTGATGTATTGATGTATTGATGTGTTGACGACGACATGAGCTGCCAACTATATTAGAGCTAATGAAAACAATGTGTGTACTTTGTACAGCAGTGGTGTCTGTTGAGTAGAACAGAGAGCAATCCCTATTGAGACGTCAGTATATTTACTATAAACATTTGATTGTCAGTGAGTAACTGCAATTACCATCAGAGGGATTGTAGGCCTACGCCCTGTGTATTGTTCGGAGTGTGTGTTGTTGTTAGTGGATTTGGTTGAAAAGTTTTGAATGTTTTGTAAACGGCACCTGTGCGTGACTGTACAGTGGGTCACCTCGCAGAGATGAATAATCGTAATCCTTGGGTGTACCGAGCTGTTATCAGAGGGGAGTGTTGGGAGAACTTGGCTCTGCTGCTGTCGTCCTCTGTGTCTGGAGGGACGGTGGAGGAGGGGCCCACTGTGATTAAAAGCAGATTGGAGTGTTTCCTGTTGTAGCGTGCTAACTTCACCAAGGTCTCTCTCTCTCTCTCTCTCTCTCTCTCTTTCCATGCTTGTGCCACCTCTTCTTCTTCTCTCTCCCTCCCCATTTTTTAACGACTCAGTGTATTTCCCTGTAGACACAATAGTCGGACACATCTGGAGAAATCGGAATTAAATATAGGTCACGATTGTCCTCGCTGTTTCCTCCCTCCGTCCATCTTTTTTTGTCTTCTATTGAATTATCTCACTCCTATTATTTAACACTTTAGAGCGTACCCGTTCTCAATGCCCAAATGTATCCAGATGTCAAACAACATCATAAGACTACATATGTAACTACATGCATCCAAAGCCAAACAAAGAAAGGTGTAAGAAGCATTGTAAAGCATTGTGGTATTCTTCAGTTCACCCTGTTTTAACAGTGTGAAACTATGTGTGTGTTTAGGCGGAGGGGGATCGTCTGCCACCCGGCCACACGGTGAGCCAGCTGGAGACCTGCAAAATCCGCAGTATCCGCGCTGGAACAATGGAACGGCTGGTGGAGACATTACTGACGGCATTTGGAGACAACGACCTCACCTACACCTCCATCTTCCTGTCCACCTACAGAGCCTTCACCAGCACACAGACTGTACTGCAGCTACTTCTAGACAGGTAGGCTGGAGTGAAGTGTTTCATCAAGTCAAGATAATGTCCTGACTGTATGTTTCAGAGGTTTTAAATATGCTTATTCGCTGCTGCAGGTATGGATGCGTGGAGGAAAATGAACAAGGAACAGACAGATGCCAAGGCTCTGAAACCAATGGAGCCATCAGAAAGTGAGATACGTTTTTATATGTACATGTCAGTTCCATGCAAACAGCTTTCTATAGATAACATTTACTAATAGTTTCAGCAGTAGAGCTGACGCACCACACCTCCTCTTCTATCATTGCCAGCTCTCTTAACATTCAAATGTCTCCACAGTGCCTTGGCCTCCATCCTGCGTGCCTGGCTGGACCAGTGTCCTGAAGACTTCCAGGAGCCTCCTGACTACCCCTGCCTCCACAGGCTGATGGACTACCTGCGCAAGGCCCTGCCCGGTTCAGAGGCTCTCAGACGGGCAGAGGGTCTGCTGGAGCAGCTGCAGAGTCAGGCCGGCATGGATGACACTGATGGTAACCAAGAAACCGTCTTTTTTTTTTTTTAGCCTACATAAAGTTTAATGGCCTCTACAGCACTATTTAGTGTTTCTTTTCAAGGAGCAAGTTTTAAATCAATCCTGTTGGCCTGCTTTCAGCTGGTTTCCATGGCAACAGTTCTTTTTGCCTGGGGGAAGAGGAAGAAGTGGAGATCGAGGTCCAGGAGGACTTCCTGTCGTTTGACGCAGACCTGGTGGCTGAGCAGCTGACCTATATGGATGCGGTAAGTTGAGGGAAATGAGGTGGACACGGGGGAGGATTGGCAGTGTGGGTTGTGTAGGAGGGGAAAGATTACGCGGGTTACATCCCTGCGATGTTTCTTCAGTGTCGTCATACTAACATCAACCTGTTCTCCTGCTCCAGCTACTGTTTAAAAAAGTCGTACCCCACCACTGCCTGGGCTCCATCTGGTCTCAGAGGGATAAGAAGCACAACAAGCACAGTGCCCCCACCATCCGTGCCACCATTACTCAGTTCAATGCCGTGGCGGCCTGTGTGGTCAGCACAGTGCTGAAACACAAACAGATCAGACCGCACGTCAGAGCACGGGTCATCCAGCGTTGGATAGACATCGCTCAGGTGGGCAGAAACACACAGACATACACATGAATTAATATATGAAATATGAGTAAAGTACTGACTCAACTGACTTGGGTTGATTTTCTTTAAACAGGAGTGTCGAATACGCAAAAACTTCTCGTCTCTGCGAGCCATTGTGTCTGCACTGCAGTCCAATCCTCTGTACAGGCTGAAAAGAGCATGGGCCTGTGTGCACAAGTAAGCCTCCAATTCCTCAACTATGCAGATAATCTCAGCGGGTTTCGCTAGAAGAATCAGCCTTTTACCAGAATTCAAACTTCAGAGTTTATTTTCACATGTATTTTAGCTGCTGTGCCCAATATCATAACCTAACATGAATCTGTGCTTGATGCAGAGACAGCATGCAGACCTTTGAGGAACTGTCTGACATTTTCTCAGACCACAACAACTACCTGACCAGCAGGGAGCTACTCATGAGGGTGAGTTCTGACTTTACCAGCTATTTCATAGCCGAGGAATAGAATCCTCTCTTAAAATCCCAGTTTTTAAATGTGTGGATGTTATTTCCACAGCCTTGAGACTTGATCTGGAAATTCTGGAAAGATTCTTTCATTCACTTGCTAGAATCTCAAGGACTGAAGCTATTTTTCTGTTTGCTCCACAGGAAGGCACTTCAAAGTTTGCCAGTCTGGAGAGTTGTGCCAAGGAGCACCAGAAACGCACCCACAAGAGACTGCAGCTGCAGAGGGAAATGGTGAGACAAAGACTGGCTAACTAAGAGCTTTGACAACCAGTGCCAGGCAAATGGATCTTTTTTCAAAGACAGCTAAAACGGAGCTTTATAATTTTAAACAACACATTCCTCCAAAGCAATGTACTGTAAAGTGAGTTCTAGCTTCTCCCGTATGATGAAGCCACATGCTTAACTTTGTTTACTCAATGCACTATGTGCTGTACTTACATTAAGCCCGTGTTGTATTTTACAAACCCGTCCTGCCATCTGTGAGGACCACAGTGTAAAATAAACTATGACTTTATTGTGGCATCTCAGTGAATTTAATTGGTTGTTAAAGTAATCAAATAACTCTTTCTTCACAGGGAGCAATGCAAGGCACGATACCATACTTAGGGACTTTCCTTACTGATCTAACCATGCTGGATACAGCCCTGCCTGACCTAGTAGAGGTAAAAAAAAAAAAATCCTTAACACCTGTTGATTGTGTGTGTGTCTGTGTGTCTGTTTTGCGCTTGTGTGCGTGTTTCGATATTTGAGAGCATGTGTCTGCGAGTTTACACAACTCTGCAGATCTGAGAGTCTGTCTGTGTAACCGCTGTCAGTAACTGGGGCGTAAGTTTCCATGAGTGCGTGAGGAATTTTGTCGGTCCATTTTTGGAGTGGTGCACCTAATGCTGTTTGTCTAGGCAGCCACTGGTATGTGATGTTCAGGGTCTGACAGCGTGCTCTTTGTGTCCTCCGCAGGGTGGTCTGATCAACTTTGAGAAGAGACGCAGGGTGAGTGTAGTTGCAATCAGCCTCCTCTGACATGATTACACCGAGACAATTATCACACGATGAGCTCGGCTTGCACGTTTGAAGTTAAACCGATCTAACACCAGTGACGCTCTCTCTGTCTCTGCAGGAGTTTGAGGTGATAGCTCAGATCAAGCTGCTCCAGTCGGCTTGCAACAGCTACTGTCTGACTCCAGAGCCGACTTTCCTCCGCTGGTTTAAGAGCCAGCCTCAGCTCAGTGAGGAGGAAAGGTAATACCTTCTTTCTTGATTGCACCGTTATCCATTAGATAACAAGCAAATTAGTGCATGAGGTCATGGTCTGTTGGATCTATTGTTAACAAGCACACAATAGAAGCTTCTTTCTCTCCCTTCTCCTCATTTCTGCCTGCTGTTCTTATGTCATATCTTCACTCCCTACTGATCTATTGTACTTGTTTTTTTTGCTGTGTGAGCTCTCATTTTCTCCCTCTTTCTGTTGTGCTCTCTCGCTTTTTCTTTCTTTCTTACTGAGAATTTGTGGTTCCTAAAACCACTGAGCACATGATCTGGTAATGTTTCATAATGTTCAAAGGTTTTTCATTTATGTTCTGTCTTGCAGCTACGCCTTGTCCTGTGAGGTTGAAGGTCTTGGTGACAGCAGTCCAACTTCACCCAAACCCCGAAAAAGCATGGTGAAGAGACTGAGCCTGTGAGTACATCCAGAAGATAGATGTTAATAGAACGGAGGATGATCTAGTTTGAATGGCTGACATTGAGTCTAAAATACTTTTCCTTGGCTCATGTCACCCTGTCATATTCTAGCACTACATTGCTGTGACCTATTTATTTTATTATCTAATAACTGACTTTCTCTACTTTCCAGGCTGTTCCTTGGAACGGACAACAGTGCAGCCAGTTCTCCGGTCAGAGAGACGCCGCGATCGCCTCCTACTGGCAGCTCAGGGGAGAGCATGGACTCAGTCAGCGTGTCCTCCAGTGACTCCAGCAGCCCGTCAGACAGTGAAGGACTCACCGCCCCCACTCACACCTCCGACTCCCAGCAAAACAAGGTGAGTTGTGACATTGAGAAAATGTATTTCTTTAAGTCATACTTAGGGACTGTACCAAAATAATTTGGTGGGGAGGGCTGAGAATAGCAAGGCTTCTCCCAGTGTTATTAATATTTTCTTATCAATATATCAAAATAATATGAGATTTTTTTTTTCTCTCTGGAGAAAATGTTCTAATAACAAAAGATCTGACATGTTTTTAAATATTCGATCTTTATTTATTAGTCATTAGGGAATAATGAAATAACTGTGTTTTTGTGCATGAAAATGGTTGAGTTATTGTTCCATCCCTCTGTATGACTTCTATCATGTTTCCTCAGCTTTCAGAATCCTCCTCTTGTAATTCACTCCACTCCATGGATACCAGCTCGTCGACAGCCAGCGTCTCCGTGACTCCTGCATCTCCCTCCCTCCCTGGGCCCACGTGCACCCACAGACGCTCCGTCTCCCTCACTCCCATGTCCCCGAGTTCCCCGAGCCAAACCCCAGCTTATAACACACAGGCCCAGGACGCATGCATCATAAGAGTCAGTCTTGAGCACGGCAACGGGAATCTCTACAAGAGCATACTGGTGAGTGAAGATGAGCATGTTGAGTTACAGATTTACATTTTAAGACCCTTTTTGTTAAACCCTGTCTGACTTCATTTTCTTTTGTCACCTAAATAGCTGACCAATCAAGACAAGACTCCAGCTGTAATCTCCAGAGCCATGGCGAAGCACAACCTGGAGGTGGAGCCGGAGGAGGGATACGAGCTGGTACAAGTCATCTCTGAGGAGAGAGGTAAAACATGACTCTACTTTCAAACTAAGGCTCATTAATATTTTTCACACTGGATCCTCTGGGATCATTGAAGGTCTTGGGTGATCATTTTGTGTGCATGTATACCTTTCCAATTATCAGACCTACACTTTCTCAGCCAGAGTTCCCCAGTTGATATTCTTCTTCTGTGTGAAGCTTTGTGCTAATTTTCCTCATATTACGTCTTTCATAGACCGTATCATTCCAAGGTATATAGTCAGAGTAGCAGTGAAGGTGCTGCAGCAGTTGCTATATAAAACTATGATGAAACAGTCTTTATTTGCGATTCAATTATTGTAATTTATTCCACTAATCAGCTGTTTTACAAACTAAATGAACCACAATGACCAATGTATTGCTGACTAGAAGTATAATAACCCCAACAACAAGCACTTATGAGTCGCCTTTGTCCTCTTCTTTCTCTCAGAGCTGGTAATCCCAGACAACGCCAACGTCTTTTACGCCATGAACACCTCAGCTAACTTTGACTTCCTGCTGCGGGTGCGAGGCTCAGCGGGTCGACCGGTCCAGCTGCGAAGCCGGTGCATTTCCACACTCCCTCGAACCCAGCAACGCTCGAGCCTCTCGCTTAGACTCAGCAAAGTTACACTGTGACTGGACTGTTCTGACCCAGCAGTTTGCCCTTACACCACTAAGCCAGGACAATACAGGGCATGAACTGGATATGAAGTGTATGGTTTTAGGAGGAGAGGCAGGATGGATAATAAATGGACTTGAGGAAAGCTCCGGAGGATTCACTGGATTCAATAAGGAACAGATGGATCCCAATGAGCTCGAAGACTTTTGAAGAGCTCCACTTTGACTCTTATTTTCCCAGTTTGAGTCTCCTCCTAAAGGGTGCCATCCCTTTGCCAGGCCTTAACATGGAACATGGATGTGTAGCGTGACTGCTGTGCCAGTGAGACTAAACCTTTGACTAGTGATGCCTGTGACAGAGTGACACAGCGGCCCCAAGTGGCCTCCACTCTTTACAACGCCAGGTTTTTGCACATGTTGTGGGAGCAGCCAAACTCCTGACCTCCAACAGTATTCTGATATTGAAATGTACTTCTTTTTGTCCTGTGATGTCTGTGTAGCTGAATAATAACTTTTCTGGTAATAGAAGAGTGATGAATGCAGAAATAGAAGATGGATGGTGGAGTAGAAGGAGAAGTGGACCGAGTTTCCTGTTGCCTTTATTGATGAGTGAATGGACCTCTGACAGTAATCTGAATGATATTGACGAACTGATTGACAGGAGCTGTGATGTCATTATAATCCCTAGTTGGACATGTTTACTTGCCATGTCCCGCCTTGTGCACAATGTGCACAGTGAGTGTTCAGCCCCTCTCATATTGTGAGCTGTGTGACGAATGCAGTGTTACCTGCATTCTGATTGGTTCCAGTACTTGGTTTTAACAAGTCCTCTGCAAATGTTGAAATGGCCTTACCCGCCCTATCTTTAGGGTGTAGAGATGCAGTTTGTGCTGCTTGTGCTTGTTTGAAAAAAAAAGAGGTGTACAACAACAGGAGTAGAAAGGAGGGAAATGTCATACTAAAATGGAAAGCACCATGCACATTGTCTCAAACTGATGTATACTTGTACCTCTTCACCCTTCATTATATGAACTATAGAGTTGCACTTGTCAGTTGGTAGGAGATGCCAATGGGATGTGAATACAGAAGAATGAGTGAGCCACTCTGTTAGTGGCTTACTCCCTCTTCACAAAATGAATTACTATTTTTATTTGTAAGTGTTGCTTTTTTTAAAATATGTTTTTGTATCACAGTTCAGGCCAGAAAAAGTAAGCCAGATTGGAGAGTGATGAAGGATTTTAAAAGTAAATGTTATTGGATTCAGAAAGTGTCATATTTTAGCCAGTGCTAATTTGGACTGTGATACATTTGGAAATCTTTACCGAGGGGCTCTTTACCTCATTATACTCACAGAAGCCAGACACCTCTTCACACATCCATCTGTTTGTCCCATGGGCAACACTCCTCATTTCAAACGTCGTCATAGTTTCACAGCAACATCACCAACACTTCATCACCTGTCCACACGATAGTAACACATTTGCAGATTTTTTTTCCCCTTCAGTTGCTCTCCACAGCTCCTACAGTGTCATTCTGTTGTGCCATGATTACAAGTTAGTGCAAACAGTTGTCGTTGGTTAATATTACAGAGAACTGGTTCACTGTTGGACTAATGTTAATGTCCCTGTTGGCCCAATCATTTGTCTCCTTGCAGCACTTGATTTCAAAATGTTCTCATTAAATCACCCTCAGTTCCTGTGTTCTTCACTGCCAAAGACTCTTCTTCTACCTGAATAAATAAATTATTATCAGTATTATGATTGTTGTCCAGTGTGTCATTCATTTCTTCTCCTCTTTGGATGAAGGCCCTGTAACATACATACATGTAATCTGTAATGTTTGATTATTGTGGTTTTATTCAAACACAGTTAAACTGAGATTTAAAATTACATCTATTTGATAAAACAACACTCTTGATCATATCCGCCGTGAAGCGCTGGCTGGATGAAGGCTGCTGTGCTTCGTGATGGACAACATGCTCAGTCCTGTTAGGAATTGACATTGTCAATAAAAGGACCAGAGGCTGTTCTGGACAGGGCCCAAGTTATTTTGCTGAGTGGAAGACTATTCTGCTGACTTGAGCACAGCAGTCATGACCTTCCTTTCCTGAAGATGAGTTTGCCGTGCTAGTCAAACTCTTTTCCAGGAATTCAAAGACAAACAGGTTTTTTTTTTTATTTTATAGTTGCAGGATTTGCATCATATTTTGAATCGAATTGTTCTCTGTCTCCATCATTCTGAAACCAAAACACAACAGATTTTGACAATGACTAATCTTCACTACTGCCACATAAAAAGAGGCAAAAATTGTCAGATGTTACTATTTTGAATTTACATGACATAGGTGGGGAATGAATTTGGCATAAACAGCATCACTAATCTTGAAACCTAATTTTGTTACACTGTGCTGGAGTAGAGTTCAGAGATTTAATGTTTAGGTGACAAATCTAAATTTAAATCCAGACCATAATAATGTGTGCTGCTCTAACTGAGCAGTCATGGATCCACAACATGCCAGAAGAACATTTACATTTTGTTAAGGAATAGCATCATAGGATAATCAACATGGACATGTACTGTAATATTATCATACAGTATTTTAATTGATCTACTCCTGATCACTGTTCTCATTCCCTCCTCTTTCCTTCTTCTTTCACTCTATCAGCTCCACTCATCTATCCCTGGAAATGTCCTCCATCTCAAAGAAGAAAATATAAAAAAAAAAAGTTTTAATATTTCTGATCATAAACTGAAGTTGTAAAATTATTACTTGCATATCTTATTTTCTTACATCTGCTCCACCTCTGCTCTCCTTTCCTCCTCTTTTCTTCAATCCCGTCTTGTCAACACATTTTCATCTCCTGTCAATGGAGGTACATTTGTCTCATTGTTATTTGTATGAACAGATTGACAATCAATGAGTAAATGTGTAATCTATAAATATGGAACACCTTCCACAAATACAAAAATCTGATTCCACCCTGCAGCTAAGGGAAGGGCTGGCATGTGGAAAATAGGAGGAAATTAACAAAAGCTATTCAGGCCCACCGCCAGAACAGTAATGGCCATCCGGAACGTGTAGTGTGCTTCAGGCCTGGTTGTGGGTTTTTGGAAACCTCAAAACCAGTAAGACCGCACTTTAGCTGGATCTTTCAGCCCACTTTTGCCAGAATAATTTGAATAACAGGATAAGAAAAGTAAACAGGGTAACAAACAAATGCAGAAACTTTTCGCACCTGTGACAGTGTTGGAAATCAGGTGAACAGGAAACGGTGTGTGCAGGGAGGAACCAGAGGTGCACATACGGGCATTAGGCTGAAAGGCGCCAACTTTGATTTAAATGCGGAGGACAGAAAGCAGGAAGGTTGCAGTAAGCCCATGCCTGGCTCTGAGTACAGTCCGCGGTCAACATACTCTGAAACAGCCACTGTTATAGCTTGTTTGCAGGTACAGACGGGATATAAGTGCAACAGCGTCAGCGTTCTTGATGCTTCATGTGAACAGTGTAACATTTACTGACCACAATGTAAAATAGGCAGACACAAACATTTGGATATCACAAACTAAATATCAGTATAAGGGAAACCATGATTGTAGTTTATATTCTAAGCATACATTTATAGTAATTACTGTAAAAGTATTAAAAGAGTTATTTTTGTGCCTAATTCCTGAGTGCACAGTGGGACTTTCTGAGCACAGACAAATACATTTTGCAAACACACAAATTATATTTTGAAGAAGAAATATTTTTGAGCAAATAATGTAACCTGAGCAAACAAAAATCTCTTCTGTGCTAAATAAATTTATTTCTCAGGTTGCTATTATCCACATAATGGCACATTACTAATATGTGTCACTCAGTTTTAGTCAGTTGTATGAAAAGCCGCTAGGCCAAAAGTGAATACTTCACTTGCACATACATAAATACTATCAGGCATATACTGTACACACATATAAACATATAGTTATGCATGTGTAGGACAGTAATATGAGAAGCCGCCTTGGGCAAAGCTGAATACTTTACTTGCACATACATATATACGGGTACTAAGCACTTGCACATACATGCATACTATAAAATATATACATACATACTTTCATGCATATACATACATACAGTTATGCATGTACATACAAATATACATGCACATACACATAACTAAATATTCACTCTGTATGTATGTGCAAGCGTGAGTATGTATGTATATTTAAAATTGAATCTCAATCCGTTTTATATTTGCAAGATATTTTTGTGAGTTTACAAATGTATTTTTTGTATTTGTGGAAGGTGTGGAACAAATGCCAGCTGTAGAATCAACTGAGACATGAAGTGCAGCCCTAACAGTTTATAGACCAGCATCATCATCCATAAGGAATAATGTCAAAATTGTCACATACACAAGGTGATAGCATCCAACCAGTGATAATACAAACCAGCAACACTTTGTTTTCTTTCCTGGAGCTTTGTTTCTTTCCTCATGCAGGTGCTTTGGTTAAACAAGGCCATATCAGCACCAGATGGAAATATGCAGCCTGTATGTGTTTCTCTGGCTCTCAAACTGACATGCAGTACTGTCTAAAGGTTCACCACACCACAAGCTGAAAACATTCAAAGGCAGCTCTCTAACACACAAGTCTGAAGTCTTCTGTTGTCGAGAACCTCCAACATTCAATATCCTTTGATGCATGTCAACATAAAAGGGTTCATGTGCTCAGGGCTGTGTGAAAGTCAGAGCATTTGAGTGTGGAGGGGTGGTGGTTGTGTTTGATGCAGTAGGTCAGGCTGCACTAACTTTGCCTTACACTGAGGGATGATGTGCTGCTGCAGCTGCTTTTAATCTGTAAGAGCATTTGAGTGGGACACCAGATTGTTTATGTAGTCCATTGAAAAAGAGCTGGCACAAGTGTGTGTGTGTGTGTGTGTGTGTGAGTGAGTGAGTTAAGGGGGTGAGTGCAGCTCACAATCCATCTGTCCCTGTTTCTCTCCAGCTCAACATGGTGGCAGACCGTGAGGGGAGGCTGGGACAAACCTGAGTCCTTGTACTGATTTAATTAAAACACATCATTTGAACCTTTTTTTTGGCACGGGCAACAACAAGCCCGTCCCAACAAACAACTCTACAGACGAGAAAAAAAAAAAAAAAACACCAGGCAATTAAAGTCTCATTTACTCATCAGCCAATTATTCACCCGAGCCTTTCTTGGATCTGTCTCGTGCAGCCCAGTGAAGCCTTTGACTACAAGCGGGTCTTTATTCAATGAGCGCCAGAACTGCAATGGGTGGAAAATTTGGCACCGAATGAGACACACGTAACACTGGTTTCTGGAGAAAAGGCCTTTCTCTTGCAGGTTAAAGTAAATCTTAAATGTAAAATAAAAGCAAAAGAGCCACATTAATTATCAATTTCTGATTATGTTTTATTAGCTTCTTATTCTCTTTAAATCTTGAAAAAGACAGAATCTTTAAAAACTAAAAATAAGTCAGTATAATAAACAATGGATAACAAAGTGTGGTGACAAAACTGATACACAGCCGTGTTATGTCAGAGATCCAAACATTTGAATACATTTTCTTTTTTAACAAAAGCTACTCATGTATCTGCCTGAAGCTCCTCTGTCATTGTTCTTTCATCATCCCACACTGTTTTTTTTTCCAAACATGACCCAGCACACTGTATTGCTTAGGTTGTACTCCTCCACAAATGATAAATTATAAACAGCCTGAAAAAAACCCCCAAAACAATCAAACAAAGACCCACAACTTGGTTAATTTATGCTATTTAAAGTCTGTTCTTGCATATTTGAAACCAGACATGATATGATAAAACATAATTATTTAGCAATATGAGAAACTTGCATTTCATTTGTATCCAAATGTGCAATGGAAAAAAAAGTCAGACCAAGCATAAAGATGAATAAAAAGTTAAGCTAAAGTTGAACAATTCTGTCTTTGGTTACAAAGTTACAAACAGGTGCACTGGGTAAAGCACAAAAAAAGTTTGACTTTGGTTCATACATGGACAAGAAAGTCTGAAGAATGTCTCAACTGAATGTTCAAATATGTCAACTCAGTTAAGTAAAATGACTTTTACCCTTGGATACACTCATTTTGGGAATAGCTTTACACTTCTGTGGCCTAGCACCACTGACAGCTGCACCTTTAAGATGAATACTGCAGACAGCACCTCATGTCTGGTTGTAAAACAGACTGTTAGTGAGACAGTGCCGTGTGCAGCGAGTCTAAAAGATTATGATTTATCTTATGAGTCAAACCTAAATAACTTCAACAGGGCAGCCAGCTGACACAATCGTGTACAACTTCTCATTGCATCATCATTTACAACATTGTCAAAGAAACAAAAAAAGAGCAAAATTCGACAACTGATTAGTGATATTTCCCCAAATAATCAGCGCAAAAAGAACAATAAACCACAGGGGCAACAAAATATGTTTGAGACAATTTTCTATTGTTGCAAAAGAAAACAGAAAAAAAAAAAAAAAAAAAAGAATCACACCAGCGGATAGAAAAGGTACTGTACCACTCTTGTACTCAATTCTGTGAGGCAAAATCAATAGTGTTACCAAGAAGTTGGCTGTAAACCAGAGAGGAAAGAGATGTTATACAATTTCACACAGACTATTTGCTGTCTAGTTTTACCTGACAACATCACGTAGAATAGTGGTGGAAAAGCAATGCTGTCATGTGAGAGGACTGTCCACCTGTTAAATTTCTAACGCTTTAGTGTAATGTTCTCAGAGGAGATTCTCACTGAACTCTTTGCCAATGCTGTTAAAGCTGGAAAACAACTAGTCAATATACTGTGATAAAACATGTTCCTGTGTTTATCTGCAGAAGGGTGGAAACAATTTTTATTACTCACACTGTGAAGTTCATCGACAATTAAAATTAGACAATGGCAACAGTCATAAAGTATTTAAGTTCAAAGTTAAGCTTTTATACTTCTTAAATTGACACAGTTCCCCTTCAAGATGGAGTGCAAATGAGCAGGATTGCTGTCAGACAGAGTTTTAAAACAAAGAGATGAAAACAGGCTGGAGGTTGAAAACTGTGGCCCGTTTAATTTTAGTGTTGCTTCTCTGTTCCAGACACTGGAGGAAACAGGAACTTAGCTGACAGCTGTGACCTACTGGTGTGAGACATAAACAAGACTGAAACAAAAAGGACAGGGCTTACAGACTCTCAGATATTCCACTAAACAAAGGAGCTGGAGGTATTTTCTTTCTGAGGCTGTTGAACGTCAGTCGTCCTTTAACGCAGCCAATCTCGCTCCATCTCTGGGATGCAAACGTCTTCCATAAAAGACTGAAAACAGCATGGTGGATCGACTGGAGCAAAAAGGCAAAAGTTTGTGACGGCTCACCAAACTCCAGAGTTGGTCTGTACCTCAGTTATGGGATCATAGTTTGGTTCATTACTAAAAAAATCCTCACACTGGATGAATATGATTTCATATCTTTGCTCAAAAGGATCTGAGGAGATTTAACTGACTGTATATAAAAACAAACAAAAAAGAAAGACACATCTAACGTCTAAAGGAGGGTTACCTGAGCAAAATGTTCAGTATGGTGAAAAACAAACTCGACTCTATGTATCATTTTCATTTTTCCTAAGGGCTAGTCACCAGTTTTATCCACCCCAAAACCTACATATATGACGTGGACAGGATAATAGAGACCCTGTTCAGTATGATGCAGCCCAATACTACACCATCAGTTACTAGAAAATGCAGTTAAATCATCCCCTTTTAAAACAGAATTTACTGGAGGGCTTTTTATTGGACTGCATTACGTTGTACAGGTGTTACTGATAAAAACTGGTGGCTCAATGTAGAGAACTTAGTAACAAACTTGTTCACTGATTTAATGTGTGATTAGACAACCAAAATATTCTCCAACACATGTCAAGAGTCCAACATGCTTCACCATTATCCATTTGGGTTAACAGCAGAAATGAAAGTTATACACTAACTGAACGAGTAGGCTGGAAAAATTGACAGATACTTTCCATGTGGACCACAATATAATTGACCTACATGATTATTTATCAGTTTGTTGTTCTGTTAACCACCCCCATTTAATTTCAACAAAGTTCATTTTCCTGTGACACTGTCCACATTATTGCACAGTATAGGAATATACGCATCTGCCACCTAACACATGGCAGCTGTACTTTTATAGTTTCTGCTACGAAACAACAGTCTAAATGCAATTTAACTCTATCACACTCGCACACTTCTGATGTCTATGAACACACTCCTCCTTTCCTCTGTGTCACATCAATCCATGGTCAATTAAAGGCATACTACGCCCTGAAAACAGAGCACTACAGTATGTGAAACAGTACACCCCTGGGTGCTGTGGTAAGCTGAGGGATGGTTTAGATGACTCTTCAAAACATTTCCATCTTGGACACAGAGAGGTGAGGTTTTAAGTGGACCAGGAAAAAAGGTAATGATGACGATTGCGGAGGTGGTGATCGTCAGGCATGTTGTACCGCCAGCTCCTGTCCTATGAAGCGGCGTAGACGCTCCAGATACTGGCTGTACAATTCAATGTCGTTGTGTCCTGCTCCCTCCACCCAGAGAGGCTCCACGGCCTTGGGACAGCGCTCGAACAGAGCCAGGCCGTGGGAGAAGTCGATCACCTCGTCCTCTGTCCCGTGGATGATGAGCACTGGAGATGTGATTTTGGACACCTTCTCAATGCTAAAAAGAGGAATAAGAAAAGAAAGGACGTCAGATTTCAGAGAATGCAAGAGCCAGCTCAATAGTGATGTACAACTGGACTCATAAAGCTCTGGCTCTGTGGATCAGGTCATAAAATGTGACACTCTAATGGGTCAGTGTGCTTGTCTGAAAAACTCAATAAAGAATGTTATAGATTAAATAGAGATATCTTAATGGATCAGTGAAGCTTCATTTTTATCTGGACTGCAACAGTAATTTGTTTTGGGCTCTAAAACACATTTATTGCTTTAAAAGTAGATAAATATCTTTGTGTTATTAGTTTTGGTACCATATGTAGGAGTCCAATGACTGATTAATAATGGTTTTATTACCTGAGTGAGATTTAGGTTAGGTAAGAGCTGACCTGACCATCTCTGCAGCACAGATTTGACATACATATATATATATATATATATATATATATATATGTGTGTGTGTGTGTGTGT